AACCAGCCCTGAGATTCAGCTGGTACAGGCTCCACTTACTCCCTGGACTGCCTGGCTGGAGGGTCAGCAAGTTTGAATAAATGTCCATCAACTCAAATGAAATGAGACAAGCCCTAAAGACTAGCACCTTTCACCCACTCTACACTCTGAATCACTATGGGGTAAAGAATTTAATTATACCCAAACAATTTGATCTTTGCTCTAGATCCCTGAGAGATAACTTTAAATCCCTGTAATTTTCTTCTTGAGTAATTGAGGTATCTTTTGTTATCTAAGATTCCAGACCACACCTGAGGGTTTATGCTAACGAGGTGACTCAGGTTGGGGATGGCCAGGCCAGAAAGACCACCTCGCGATGGCTGACCTGGGGGGGAGGTGGCCTGATTCACTCACTCACGTCTACGTAATGAGACTCCAATAAAGGCTATGGACATGGACGCTCCACGGGCTTCCTGGTTGGGAAAAGACAGCGATGCACTCACGAGGGCAGCATATCCTTCAGGACATGTCTCTGCGATGGAAACCATCCCAGACCTCATCCTATGCATCTCTTCCTTTGTATCCTTTTTTCCTACAATACAACTGTACTTGTAAGTATAGCTCTTTCCATGAGTTCTGTGAGTCATTCCAGCTAATCACCGAACCCAAAGTAATACTGGAAGCCAATAGGTCAGAAGTGAGGGGGACTGGGAACCCCTGAGCTTATAGCTTGTATCCTGAAGGGGTAGAAGGAACCCCCAAATTTGTAGCCAGCAGGTCAGAAGTGAGGGGGCCAAGGTGGAAGGAGCAAGCTTAGCCTGGCATCCTGAGGGAGTAGTGGTAAAACCCTGAAATTGTAGCCAGCAAGTGAGAAGTGAGGGTGTCCTGGGGACTCCCAAGCTTATGGCTGGCATCTGAGGTCTTTGGCAGACTTGGCACTCTGTGCCCTTGGACTTGTGAGCTCTGACCTAGCTCTAGGTGGCCAGGGTCAAAGGAAGAAGTGCTGCTGGTGTCAGAACAGAAGTGACAGAGAAGTGAATAAGTAGGGATTTTGACTTACGTTGATTTACTATTATCCTCTTAATCACCCACTCATGTCTGACCACTGACTTAATCCCAAAACCAGACTGGACTTCTCTTAAATATTCCCTTTACCAATGTCATCTTCTGCTCTATAAACTATAGCAAAACAGAATGCAGGGAAGAGCTCAAAGAAAATTCAGGTCTACTGCAGTCCTTGAACACCCCCAAGCAGAGCACCTGCAGTCCCGGAGTGCGTTCGAGGAAGGCTGCTTGCTAGGCAAAGCCAGCTGGTCCATGCCAGGGGCCTCAAGGATTAGACAGTTGTTCTCATAGGTGATGGAGACCAGCACGAGGCGAGGCTCCTGACGGGCAGTGACCATGTGTCCATCTTCCTTAATCACCAGCCAAAACCTACAGAGAAAAAACCAGGGCACACTCAGAAAACACGCTTCCACCCTCTCAATAGCTTCCCTCTACTTTCTATTTCATGAAAACCCTCAACTCTCCCCAGCTTGGGACTGAACAATTTTTTTCTAGACAATTATCCAGGTCTGGCTAAATTCTTTGGGTTCAAAAGTTGATGCCCCCAAAAGGAGCTTGTTTGGTGGAAACAACCCTTGAGGAGAGGGTCTGGCCAGTGTTTGGAAATGCCCAGTTATGAAAACCCAGAAAACAAGGCTGATTTAGGGACCTTGCCTCACTGCTTAAGCAATCGTGTTATTTAGTTTGGGGTTCTACTTTGGTCAGAAGCTCCCCTGGGCCTGTTAAACACCTCTGTGAGGCCCTGGGAGAAGAGAATCGTCTTCCAGGTCTTTCTGTTGTGGAACAAGATGACGCTGGCCAAGAGAACTGGCCCAAGTGACATGGAACCCTAGACAAATGTCTTGTAATGTTCCTGACCCTAAGAGCATCCAAATTAGCCTCTACTCTGTTTAACTTGCTTTGGCATGTGGATCCTACACCAAGTCTTTCCTCTTCATGTACACTGTTAGGAGTTGAATTGTGTTCCCCAAAATGGTTTGTTTAAGTCCTAACCTCCAGGACGTGTGAATGTGACCTTATTTGGAAACAAGGTCTTTGCAGATACAATCAAGTTAAGATGCGGTCATACTGGAGTAGGGTGGGCCCTGATCCAGTGTGACTGGTATCTTTACAAGAAGAGGAAAAGAGACACAGACACACTCGGAGAAAAAGGCAATAGAGATGGAGGCAGAGATTGCAGTGATGCTGCCACAAGCCAAGGAACACCTGGGGCTACCAGAAGCTAGGAGAGAAAATAACTGATCTTCCCCTGGAGCCCTCAGATGGAACATGGTCCTGCCAACACTTTAACTTTGAACTTTCTGGTTTCCAGAACTAGGAGCAAATAAAATTCTGTTGTTTTAAGCCACCCAGTTGTGGTAATTTATTACGACAGCCCTAGGAAACGAATTATCACAAACTATCTATATGGGATCAAACTGACAACAGCAACTCTAAAGCATAAATAGGAAACTTAGCGGACTGTGAGTTTATGTTAATGGAGGAGGAACAATTCAGAAAAGGCTGGTTGCACAACTTGAAGGATGTAATCAATGTCACCAAATTGTACATGTAGGAACTACTGAATTGGTGTATGTTCTGCTGTGTACATTCTCAACACCAACAAAAAATTACAATAAAATATTTTTGTTTAATAACAAGAACAGGCAAATATAGAGAGACCAAAGTTTATTAGTGGTTACCAGGGGCAGAAGTGTTGGGGAGAAGGAGAACCATTGTTTGGGAAGCAGTGGGTTTCTGCTTAGAGTAACGGTTGCATAACAGACTAATGTAATTGACATCACTAAGGTGTATACATGAAAAATGTTGAATTGGCAAGTGTTGTGCTATATATATTTTTCCAAAAAAAAGAAAGAAGAAGAAGCTGTTGAGGCTGCTTATGCACAAGCACAACAAACACTTCACAAGATTTGTTTTTTTTTTTTTGAAGGTTTAGGGTCATAGTTTCGAGGGGCATCCGAATCAATTGGTCTAATACTGTTTATCAGCACTTCTATTCTATCTGCTAGTTTGTTGCATAGTGACTGGGATCATAAAAGCTAGCAAGCAGCCATTCAAGGTACAACAATTGGTCTCCATTCACCTGAAGCAACAGAGGCAGAAGGAGAATCAGTAACTGGAGGAGGAAGTTGACCGTGTGTCTGGTTGTTTCTATGGTCGTATAGCCTCTTTCACCATGAGACCAGAAGAACTGGATGGTGCCCAGCTACCATTAATGAACCCACAGGAAAGGTGGGGCTCTATAGAAGAATCCTGATCAAAAGGGGGGAAATGTGGAACAGATATTCAAATTCTCAATAGAATCCAGACTTTCAGGAACCACTGAGGCTGAATGAATCCCTGAAAGTATTGCCCTGAGATAATCTTTAAAATTTAAACCTTAAGCCAAACCTATCCTCTGAAGTCTTCTTTGAACCATCTGCTTTGAGTATTGTGCTCTTTCAAAGAATTATAAATGTGAGATCAAATTGACAATGGCAACTAGAAAGGTTGGATGGGTCACTTAAGGGGCAGCAGGTTTAGGATAATGTTGATGGAGTAATTTGGAAAAGGACAGCTAGAATGGCAGCACAGCTTAAAGAACGTAACCAGTGTCACTGAATTATACATGTAGAAATTGTTGAAATGGTCTATCTTGGGCTGTGTACACTTTCACCAAAATAATAATACTAATAAAATAGGTGAAAATAGCAGTGTATCAGAAATATGCAATATTTTAAAAAATTAAAATTAAAAAGAAACAAAAAAAGGTTTCTCTCTAAATACTGAAAAAAAAACCTACAAAAGCACCTACTAAGTGTAAACTTGGTCATATAACCATATAAAATAAATACAATGATTAAAACAAATAATAAAGAACAGCCCCTTCTGGAACAAGGAGCAGCCTCTGCCCCGAAGACATTTCAAAACATGACTGGAGCCAGGTGAGGATCTGAGGTAACCCACGAGGATGTCTAACACAAGAGAGCAGGGAGCTCCATGGTGCCCTTCCTGACCTGGTACATAGTTTCCTGCCTGGGGCCTCCTTGTCAGGCAGAGTCCCTGTCAGGTGTTGTCTAATCTGTCCCTTCCCTGCCACCAAGCCAGCAGACAAAAGCCAGCAGCCTGTGCCCTGCTAACTGGCACGGGTGTTGGTGCGAGGGTGTGGCAGTGATGGTGGTAACACGTAAAGGCATTTTGGTGATGGTCTTGTCTGCTCCATTCCCATGAGCTGGCAATGCTGGGCAGTAGCAGGTCCCCACCCTTCTGAGGAAGCCTCCCTTTCCCAGGCGTCTTGCTCATCTCTGGAGTCGGTTCAATAACCCAAGGATTTCCCGCCTACTATGTTACAACCCTTTTTCCCTTGAGGCTGGGCCTCATTCCTTGCTTCCAGCCTCATCCTGCGTGCAGAGTTCTGAGTAACCCTGATGTGGTTAACACCACAAAGGCCTGCACCCTTAGCTTCCAACATGCCCCATCTCCAGACAAGATGACCTCTGAGATCTGCCCATGACCAGACACATGTCCAAACAGGAGTGACACCCATGTTTGGACATCATTTTGACAGTCAGCCCCTCCCTGGGTTGAGTCTTCTCATCTTCCATCCATCCTCCAACATTAGCCCTTCCTTCTGGCTCACAGGCTCCACCCTGAGCTCCAGCCTGTTGCGTATTCGCACGGCAGTTTACTCCTGGGAGTTAACAGTGGGAAGCGGTAGTTAAAGGTTTTGTGCTAATAACTGTGACTGAAACGGCAAAAGGCAACTTGCAGAGAGTTTAACACTGTGATGGCACAAAGGGGAACGATGCAAAGTGAAAGGTTGTTTTCTGTGATATCCCCTACCCACCCTCAGGAGCCCCTGAGAGCCTGGATAATGATGCCCAGTGAATTAACAATTTGCTCTGTTCTGCTGATCTGAAGGAAAAGGTAAAGTCTGGAGAATGGATTTTTCACAAGAAGGTTAGCACAACCTAGTCTGTAATAACAAACACCAGCACCTTGACTTTACACGTAAAACATGAGCATGTGGTGTAGAGATCGGTGCAGGAGCCCAGAGCTCAGATTCCTCCAAAGAACAATGGGGCCCTGAGCAACCAACAGCAATGGGAAGAAAGAGCCCAAGACAGCTTACAAGTCTCATTTCTCAAGTTACAAATGGTCTGGGGAGCAGGAAAGACTGAGCCTGCAAGTGGGGAGAGCATGGAACCCCAGCACAGGGAAGGTAAAGGCACAAGAGCTGGGCAGGGAATGACATACTTGATAATAAACTTAGAAAATTCATTTCCTACAGGGAAATAAAGGGCTGGTGTTAGAAAGGGCTTAGGGAGATTTATAAATGACACAGTCACCAATGGCTGCTAAGGATAGCAGGCTTTACAAGATCAGAGAGAGCAGCCAGGCCTTCCCAGGACCTGAATGGAGGCAGCCAATGACAGCACTGTGCCAGCTGGACACAGGATGCTCCTTCCAAGTGTTCACAAATATGTTAAGAGCTAACAGAACATCTCCAGAAAGTTGAGACACAGAGCTCTGACAGAGGAAAATCCCAGTTCCTTAAGAGGAATTCCAAAAATACAGATTCAGAATGCAGCCAAATAAAAGACAACCTTTCAGCATTCGGTGGTTCAAACTTACTCAGTGGTGCTGTGGAAGAAAGGCCTGGTGATCTGTTTCCATAAAGACTGAAAAAACAAAACCTGTTTCCATCCAGTCAATTCTGACTTATAGAGACCCTGTGTGTTTACAGCCAAGAAAATCCCATGGAGTACAGTTCTACTCTGTAACACATGTGGTCGCGATTAGTCAGAATCAACTTAATGGCAATGGTTGGACTTAGGAATATTTGCAGTTTTTTTTTATTGTCCTCTCAGGTTGAGAGAACAACGGGAGTCATTTAGCAGAGCTCTTTGGAGTGCAGGTTTGCTTTTGAATTTCAATGATCTTTTGGTAAATAAAATCTAGGTTACCAAACCAAGCCCATTGCTGTCCAGTCAATTCCGACTCATAGCAACCCTATAGGACAGAGTAGAACTGTCCCATAGGGTTTCCAAGGAGCAGCTAGTGGATTTGAACTGCCGCGCTTTTGGTTAGCAGCCAAGCTCTTAACCACTGCACCACCAGAGCTCTAAATCTAGGTTAGCTGGGTCTTAAGAGATCATCAAGTTCTACTTCTTTATTTTGCAAATGAGAAAAATGAGACTCAAAGAGGTAAGTGACTTTGCCCAAGGTCTCCTGATCCTCATCCTTCTATATTACACGCTGGTCTCATAGGAAACACATGGATGCTGTACTCACACAGCCCTGAGTTGAAATCCCTCCAGCATGTATAGATTTGTGATCTTGGGTGAGATACCACATCTCAGTATCCTTCCTGGTACTGTTTCTT